GTTCTTCGTGCACGTAGTTATCGCGCCCCAAATTAGCTTCGAGGGCAAAGCAGGCTCGGTCATAAACCGTTGATAAGCTCCGCTCGCTTCAGCGTGTTCCTAATTGTGTAAGGGTGACCCGAGTCCTTGGGTTTACTGGTCCCCAATGTGCCTCGAACTGCACTAACCGGCAAGAAACAGAGACTCCCTGCGCTCCGTTTCGTTCTCGAGCTGAGAGTACGGAGGGAAGCTACGTGTTCGTTGGACCGGTCACGCGCCTATTATCTGTCACGTGATCACGCTCTCGTTCATGACCAGGCGCAGAAAGCGAGCGTCACGTGATGAAAGCAGGGATGCAGTCGACTGTTCCAGAGAGCAACGTATCTCGTACGGCCTTTCAGCTCAAAGGCGAACAGAGTACAGCTCGTCCTTCTCCAAACGGTCTTTACGCTTAGAATGTCTCTTCTGAAAACCAATTTCCGGCCATTAGCCTGTTTAATTCGATAACAAGGTCTTTCCGCTGTCTTAGCTTGTATCCTCGTTTCGTTTTATTTTTATTTTATTTCTTGTTTTCTTTTTGACGCATGATGTTTTTATTCGCGTAATCGAAACTACTTTTTATCTTCTTTTGTTGTTTTTTGTCGTAGTTTATATATTTATTTGTTTTACCCTCATCGGTCGCTGGCGCGGATTTATCTTCAATCGGTCGTGCTTTCGTTTTAAATCAGACACCCGTAGAAACGACGTAGGGGGTGCTACGGCAACAGCTACACCAACTCCAACAAGACCGGATTTTACCTCGTTTCGTTGGAGCCGACGCAGCTGTTGCTATAGCAACCCGTCCGCTGCAGTCGCAGTCGGTCGCACTTGGTCGGGCTTTAGTACTGCGTATGGACCTTTGCAGAAAGAGCTCTCTAGCCGCCGCCATTTTGCGACTCGAGCGACCCCTATCAGCCAGCAATTTCTGCCATCTGCCTGAGCTGTGGAAACCCGGTCAGAGCGGGTTTCCACAGCTGCATTTTTCATTCAGAGTCCGCCGCCTTCTCTTGAAAGTTTTTCATTTATTTGCCTGTTCAGGATATTTACTTTTTTTGTGTTGTCTTCCATTTTGAGGGAACGAACGAAGAGAGCGAACTTCAAGACTGGGGCTGCTTGAGCTTGTAAGTTTCGCAGTTTGAGCTCGAGCTTGAAAGATTCGCATTACAGTCACATCTCATCTTATTCGTATGCGCTCACCCATGTGAAGGAGACTCAAGAAGGGGGGGGGGGGGGGGGGGGGAGGGGGAGGAGAGAGAGAGAGAGAAAGAGCCCATCAACGCAAACTTCCGTTATTTACTGTATCTGCGTCTGAGTTGTAGTTGTCCGAGTGAAATGAGGAAATAATTACCAAAGTAATGAACGGTAGGCATTCACAAGAAAAATCAACAGTGAACAAAAGCACGTAAAAAGGCAAATCGCAGCAAAAAGAAAGCGGCTTAATAATATTTTTTTTTATAACTCACCCTCGCACGAGCGATGGTCACACCTTCCTCTTCCTGGATCATCTTCCTCATTTTACCCACACGAAGGTGACACAGCTGGAAGTAATTGGGAGCTTCCGTAGATCGTTTTCGCCGTCCCGCAAGGCTCTCCGCAACCCGCTACGATACCCAGGCCGGAACTCTACAATCAAGGCCATCGGCGCGCAGGCGCAGTAGCGGCCTCTTCGTTGCGGAGGGCTTAGCGGAGGGGGAAACGCGCTCTATATACGAAAACTCCCTATTAACGCCCTTTGAACTTCTATAGTCGGTTACAAGTCAAGAAGGTAGGAGAAGCTCCTCCCACAAGCGTGATGCGCCCGTTTCAAGTCCCTCCGCAGTCGAAAGAAGAGTTCACTGGTAACGCTCCTTGTTCCGCTTGAATGGATAGCTATTGTCAACAGAGTGATGCCAACTTTTCTCCGATTCCACTTTTTAAGAAAGCGACCTTTGTATTCATCGTAGGGGGAACCGAGCCCCTGAAAGCAGCCTTTGTATTCATCGGAGGGGGAAGCTAATCCCCGGAAGTCGTATTTGTTTTTATCGGAGGGGGAAAACTCTAATCTCCCTTCGTGGCTTCCACAATGCTAAGTCAAAGCCGAAAGATCAAGCAAATATGTACAGGAAGGCAAGACCCTCCTCGCGCGTTGGCCGCGACGTCACGGAAACGATGGGACGCTATTGGATGCGGAGGTGGCGGAGAGAGATATGATTCCCTTTTAGGGGCATTTCCCGCTACCTTCTTGACCTGTAACTTACTATAGTGTACAAGATAATAACTCTATGATGGGATAATACACACAGTTTCGATCGGTTCACGACGACTAATCTAACCGATTTCGGACGTGAAATTTTCTTGGTTTTGTTCTTCAGCATTATTTCTTTCCCTCTCAATTTTTTCTCCCTCCCCCCCAAAAAAAAAAAAATCTCTGCAATAGGTCGTTATGCGAAGCTTCTTTGGTACCTAATGAGGTGAGCTTGTTCTATCTAAAGAGAAGGCGCCGCAGTTACAGTTCAAAACTTGAGCGCAGGAGGAGGTCTATAAGCGATGCGACGCGTCATGAAAACAGGCGCACATATTTGACTCGAGGCTCGGTCGCCGAGAGGCAAGCACTTTTTTACTGGCGCAGCAATCTGCCCATATCCCTGCGGGAAAACATAATAAAGGTCTCCGGGTCGGCTCCGAGAGCACGCGGAAGATAAAACACGGCGGGGGTCTCCATCGACCGCGGCCGGCACTGGAAGCCGCGGCAACTCCCAAACATCGGCCGACGACGACCAAAACCGAGAGATGACAGTCACGGCGGACGGACGCACCGCCGGAGAAGCGCTAAAACGACTCGGCCAAGCGACGCGAAGATAGGTGTCCCGCTTGGTCGGGGACCTAACCCGCGAGGAAGAGCCCGTCCCATAAAGTCCTTTATGGGCACATCCCTCGGAACCGAGCACCGACGCCGGCCGTCCGCACGGCGACTGGCCAGGAAACGATACGGACGATTGCCGCCGGTCTTTGCGACCAAGACCCCAAGTAACGCGCAACGGTCGGCCCCACAAGCCGTACTTGGTTTCGCCCGTACACGATGGAGCACGGAGGGCGCTATGCGAGCCATCGGTGAGTCGAATCGAAACCGTGTGATTGTCACGTGGGTCTTTCGGGAGGGACGTTGTCGTAGCTAATCTAATGCCGAGTGAGTGTGACGTGACACTAGGGGTGGGGTGCAGCCACGCGTTGTAGAGCATAGTCACGTGATGCGGTTTAGATCACTGAATTGGCCAGGATATATCGTAGCGCCCTCTACGCGGTCCATCGAAAGCAGAAACGGGAGCATGAAGCCGAGCCGGCAAAAGGAACCCGGAAAGCGACGGAAAGAGACGGTAAAAAACGGTCGACTCAACGAAGGTCGTAAGCGGTGCTAGGCACATACACGCAAAAAACAAAAGAAAAAAACCACAACAAAACAACACTGGAAGCCGTTGTTGCGAAAGAAAGAAGCAAAAATGGCCTCCGAGTTGAAACGGCCGCGAAGACAAGGCCTCGGCCGATTTATTGCCCCGGTAAAAGCTTGTAAAAGCTTGTAAAAGGGGGAGGCAAGGGAGGAACGACTGTGTGCCGAAAGATGGGGGGTTTCGTGAAGCAATGATATGCTCGGTCGACTTTTGGCCGTTGACGGCTCCGAGCCGGGATCGTGGTGTGTTCAAAATTGCAAGACCGTTCTGTCTCGTTTTACGGCCTGTCGTCATTGTCTTCGCGTGTAGCGGGAAACGCGGCGGGCTGAGCGTTTTGGTATACGACTGGCCGTGGAGCACGAGGGGTACAACCAACATAAAAGGGCCGTTAGCCGGGAAATTTTAAAATGAAGAAGGTTTAATCCATTCTGGTTTAAGCGTGTACTCCGGCGATTTTTCTAACTACCCCAACTAACTATATTTTCTGAAAAACCCCACTTTTACCCTTTCCGGTATGCTATTTAGCATCGGGAATTTCATAATAGTTAACATTCCAACATACCCGCCTTTTTCAGTTCCGCAACGTCAGTGGCAGGCAGGCTTGCCAGTCGCGCTGCTGCGCGCGGGGTTGAAGCGAGCTTCCAAAGCATTCATTTGTCACCATGAAACTGCTTGTATTCAGCTGGGGAGAATGAGCGGAGTGCTGGAGCGAGCTTCCAAAGCATTAATTTGACACCATCCTGTGGCTCGACCAGTACACACTCTTGCTCTGCTCAACCTTGCAGTCTGCGTCTCAGAGCTTACGTGTCGACCCTGTACCCCGTGGTCGGGAGGCACTCACTTTATCGAATGACGTTTTAGCGAACGCCCACGTTTCACCGAATGACACTTTAGCGAATAGTCGGATTTCGGGTAGGCCAAATGGGTTCACATTTTTGTGATGAGCCGCCGCAGACTGTCGCCATGAAGCGGCGAAAGCGCAGCGCGTCGGATGGGTTAACGCGCGCCCCCGTTATTCGCTAAAACGTCGATTCGCTCAAATGTCGCTTTTCGCTAAAACGTCATTCGCTCATGTAATATGGACCCCCCATGTCTCCAGTCTCGAGGCACCTCTATCTCCTGTAGGACATCTCATAGTGCGCCTTGGAGAGCTTGTTTCATCTTGGGCCCCAGTTTCTCCAGGATGCTCTCAGCTCCCATGGCTGTGCCCACTTGCGTGCTCTGGAGGACTCAATGTAGTTCCACTTTTGATAGTCTTTCCAGCATGTCAAAGCTTTGTGAGGTCTCTTCCTCTCTGCCGTCATCCTGCTTCGGTCCTTACTTTCCTAGACAAGCTATAGTAACACACCATGCACCCTCCGGCTGTGCATCTCCTCGGAGCAGTTTCGCCATCGTTTGTGTCACTAGGGTAAGGCACTGTTTGCACTTGATGATTTCCTGTATCTGTGGACTTTTTATGTGTTGTATAGCTGTTGCTCGCCTTGTGAGGCACTTCATTTGCCTGAATAATTTCTTGGGTGCTGCTCTTTCACTTCGCCCGTAAGTCCTGTAGCTTACGCTTTCTCACTGCTCTTCTACTCATTTGGAACACTTGTTTGCACTTTTCCTTGGTTTCTTTGTATTTCTTCCAGAGCTTGTTTTTCAGTTTCGTTTCCCTCTCTCCCTGGTGGCATCTGCAGGCCTCCTGGCGAACTTCAATGGCTCGCTTAATTTCATGGTGCCACCAACATTTTAGGACCTTCCTTGTTGACATGCTCTTTCCAATCATCATCTTCCTTGTTTTTAAGTTATTGCAGTTCACAGTGGTCTCATAGCCCATGGATTTGTCTGTCACCTTTTCTGGCTTTCTGGCAATCACTTCAATTTCATCTTCCCTTAGGGTCCTTTTCATTGGAAAGTTGGGTATCATTTCTTTGTGTCTTGGTCCTCCGAACACAGCCAGGATCCCGTTGTGGTCGCTGCCAACACTTGCTACACCCTCCTCGTCGATGGTAAGCTTGGCCAGTTTCGTGCTACTCCTTGATGTCATGAAGATATAGTCAACAAACGACTTTCGGTCTCCTGACACGCAAGTACCTTCCTTCACACATGCCCGGCGTGTTTCAGTAGACTAAGCTATTTGTTTGAACTAAGTACTGTAGATATTGGCTGTTTCTGTCTCTCCTACCGTCTAGTTCCTCAATGTGTGCGTTGAGATCCCCCAGGAGGATAATGTCTTCACCATTCTTTCTCATCTCCTGAATGTCTTCATCCTATCATTTGGCCATTTCCTTGTCTTTCTCCTTCGAACCTTTCCCTGTACACCAGTACACCACAGCTACCGCCACGAGCGTGCCTGCTATTGTGCCCCTGACCCACACATGATCGTAACACTCCACTTTTGCTCTTGTCCATTGTTCACCGTTTCGAAAAAAAAAACTGCCCCCCCCCCCCCCCCCCCCGGCCTTTTCTTATTTCACCTTGCCTGTTGCAGCCCTCCTAAACTAGGCCTGGGAAAATAGGCGGACCCTCCCCTCCTCGCAGATCAGTCTCCACCAGCCCAAAGATAAAGATTTCTTCCTCGTTCATCATGGCTGACACTTCGTTCCACTTGGCTTCTCCCCGTCCTCCCTAAATATTTAAGAAGGCCACCTTTGTTCCCTTTCCCTACCCTTTTCTGCGTCACCGTCATCTTTGTTTCTGTGGTCTCCTCGCTTTCCCGGTCGCCCCTCCTTCCTGAGTCAACTGGAGTTCCTATGCTGATTGTCGAGCCAGGGGGTGTCTCACCTGGAACTTCACCATATGTCCAGCCATTAACACCACGTGGTGGAATGGAACCACCTCGGGGTGCTGTTGAAGTTGCGCTGGTGGAACTGCTAGCCTTACTGCAGAGAGGCGAGGGTGCCAGAAGGGGTTGGAAGAGGGGGGGGGGGGGGGGCTAGGATGGGGTAAGCCTGCGGAGGTCTGTGCTCTGCTGGGTGTTTCGGGGTTTGGGCTGGGGGTGGGGGGCAAAGGGCCATATTTCCCCAGGCGGTGCCTCTCCCTTGTCTCGTCACTCTTGCTCCTAAGCGTGGAGATTTTTTCTCAGATTTATGTAAGTTGCCCTTAGTTCTTGGCAGATATCTCCCAGCTTGATATTCAGGGACATGGCAGTTGCTTGAACAACCTTTCCTCTACTTACCACCTCGAGTACTGCACACGTGGTCAGAACATTACCTAGATTTGACCAAGTTTTTCTAAGCTGATCCGCTATTTCCTCCGGACTCCTACCTTGCAATAAGTCATTGGAATAAGTCAGTCACGCCGCACATGTCGCGCTTGGTTCTCATAATTTTCAATTAGCTCGCGAGCCACCTATGCTGTTGCGCCTCTGCTGCAGGACACCTCCAGCCGTTAACTGTCACGAAATTTCCTGCCTAGCACTCGTGCGAACCGGGGAACGTTGTCGTCTCTGACGACAATCGCCTCCCGCATCACACTTTAAGGAAATCGCTGGAAGACCACTGGGGCGTCATCCTTCTCAACTACGTCCTTTGCAAGATTTTCGGTTGTCGGCTCGCGCTCCGTTCCGAGGGGCTGCCTCCACACTCTTCGAGGAGAGCGCACCCCGCGGGTCCAGCCGTTCGTTGCTGTCTTGTGTCAGCTGTTGTCCCCCGCTGATCCGCATCTTCGCCGCTGCGTTGCCTTGTAGAGCGTCGCAGTTCGCCAGAGGGAAAACCGCCACTACGTTGGACTCGCTGTCCAAGCCCCTCCCGCCCGCTTTCCCTGGATGTGCCTTCTGCTAGCTCCTCCAGTCCCGTCCCCTTCTTCGCCGCGGTTCTTTGTCCCTTCATTCCTTTTGTCGTTGTTATACATCCCAGTGTTCTCAGTCCCGTCGCCTTTCTTCTCGCTATCCTTCGTCTGTTGGGGCACCGGCTCTGGGGTAGCTGCGTCCGTTACTCGGTTCTCCAATCGTCGAACCTGTTAGGTCAGCGAGCCCATCGGCGCCGTCAGCTCGTCCGTCCGCCTCCTGCAGAGGCTTTCCACCTCCGTCAGATTCGTGAAAATGTTGCAGACGAACTTATTTATGTCTTCTTCCGCCTCCGAAATATTCTTGAGGGGCCTCTCTTCCTGGAAAGCCCACTCCTTGCATTCATTGCACTTTTATGAGCGCTTCGTCCCCAGCTTCTCCACTGCGCCACAGCCGCTGGCCCTTTTGCTTCCCCTTGGGCAGGTTCGTCATTCCGAACGGGCTGCTTTTCTATTTTCGTACACTGCTGCGTTTTTTTGATGGCCGCATGTCTTGTCATGCTCGTGTGCCGAGGTGGTGTCGGTGCTATATCAGACGCCTTTAGCGGTAGCACTCTCAACGGCTCGGTGCACGCTGACGAGATGAGAAAAATGGAGGCGTACATGGAACAGCACTATAAGATTATTGCAGGAGCGCTGTTCAATGCAGGAGACAATGAACTGCTTCCTGCTAAAAGAAAGATGCTTCTTTGATGGCTGGATGCAAGACAAAGAACGTGGAATCCAAAACCAGGTGTACCAGGAGCGGATTGAGGATGAATGTTGAAGACTCCTCCAGCGAGATGCCACCGCCGGCATGTCGCTAAGCAAAAATCTGCAAAGTTGCCCGAGACGCGAATACCATACCGCCAATTGCAAAGAAACGCCACGCCAAGGCGGGGAGCGTTTGTGCAGTTCGATCAAAAGTTCCCCAATCCCCCAGGGATGTTACGTCAGCGCGGCTCCGCACAAGAGCTGACGTTGTTACCATGTGATGCGCATCAAAATTTGACGTTTTCAAACGTCCAATTTTGATGCGCATCACAATTTGACGTTTTCAAACGTCCAATTTTGATGCGCATCACGTGGAGCAAAGGGACCGATTTCTATCCTGTGTGAATACCCCTTGACCCGGCCGTCTCCCCACACAAGCGGAGAAATAAACGGTGCACGGACGACGCCTCCCGTTTTCTTTGTGAGGGGCAACGAACGCCGAGTCGACGCTCGCAAAACACAACTGATCCGGGGCAGCGGGTTCTGGGAGGGTTCCCCCTCGGGGTCTAATCCCGGGCCTATCTCCTAAGCCGCGACACAAGACGGTTCTTCATGCCGTCCCGTTGCTTATTTTTGTTTCTTCTTCGACCAGCGTACTCTGGAGTCGGAAACCGGGTTAAGACCTCGACCGCTAGGGATGCGCGACATAAACCGCGGAGCTGCCGCGCTGTCCCAAACATTTCATCGTCTCGTGATAATCCACGACGGTAGCGGAGATGTATACGTGACGCGATGTACAATCGAAAGAACCATGAAATGATTCTATTTTCTTTGACTCAGGATGTGATTTAATGCAAAATGGAATATTAAAAAAAAAGTTAACAAAATGTGTAACAGAACAGTGTGACGTGCAACTTCCCACAAAATTTAGCGAAAAAAAACAACACCACATTATTTAGAAGTAATTGCACATTATTTGAATGTCCAGGTTAACTCTAACAGAAAATTGCTCCCCGCCAACTTGAGCTGGGTGTAATTACGCTTAAATTAGCGAAATTAAAGGGTCTCTGCATCGACATCGGGCAGGAATATTTTTTTACTTTACACCAGCTTCCTGGCACTAGTTGGACCCAAGAATACTCGAACGCAACACCACTGACCAAGAAGCGTCTTCGTCGCGGCGGAATTCAGAGGATGAAAGCGGAGTTTTTCTTTCAGTCTCTCCTTCCAAAGCCGCCTTTTGCTCCTTCGCGAAATTTGATGACGGAGCTGTAAGGACAATGGCAACAGTACGATCCCCGGGAATGCGTCATCGAGCTTTGCGATCCCAGCTGTGACGATATTTAAATGCTGCTCACACAGTGGACGCGAACGTACACATTCGACCTAGGCTCGTGACAATCGATGCCTCGACATGCGTTTGGGTAGTGGCCCGTGTCCAATCGCTGCAACGACGACAACAGCCGAGCCATAACAATGTCTGGTGCTCAGCGCGTGTCCTGTGCTTTGCTAACCCCAGCGCGTGGCTATGATCAACATTGGCGGCATATAATCGGCTCCAGATCACGTGGCCGCTTGTTCTGGTTGCGAGTTGAGGGGGTGAACGGTGCTCGTTTTTCTTTAATTTCTTTCTGGAACTTCTATTGCGTGGGGTGAATATCGAACGCGTGTTTCATAGGTCATTAATGTGAGGGATCCGTTTTAAGCGGTATTTGCGCAAAGTACAAAAATTGTTGCATCGCCCCTTTAGGCGGGGCTTTCCGAGCTTAGCGGAGCTCAGAAAAAAACACAAAGCACTGCTAAAAATACGTTCTAGGCCTTTCCACTAAATCCGTAGGACTAAAACACACATTGTTTTACGTTCTTGAAGCTGCGGAGAGGTAAGTAGCGTTAAAATGGCGCCAGCTAAAGCGTATCCCCTCTTTTTATCATCATGTCTCTTAACTCCGGTTTTTTTTTTCCCCGACCCCAAAAAATAATAAGCCCTCGGCAACGGATAAAACGCTGAGCCGCGGTTGACCGAAGTTAAATTAACACGAGGAGTACGCATCAGGAGTATCAAAGCAGGAAAGATTCATAGTCCTTTCTCATACATAAAAAAACAAAAACATGGAAGGCTTTTATTGAAGAGATGGCAGCCACTTAAGTGGTTAGGATACGAAAATTAAACGGGTAGACTATTCTTGAAATTGAATGCTCGTAACTTACTAGTATATATACCAAGTTTCTCGATTGTTAGAGCTCAAGTAATCGCAATAATCAATTTATAAATGAATATCATTTTTATCTGATGATTAGGCAACACTGGCCAGGTTAGTCACACCGTGGTTGAACGCTCTCTCACTTTAGGCTTCCCCGTGCCTCCTTGCGCATCCAAGCTCACCACGTGACGATCAAATACTTTAAACAGCAGGAGTTTAGTCTGCCAGAACATGGGGACCATTGTTACCCACTGTAGATAAGCAATTTAGCCAGTGCAGTACGACTGCTAGCCTGGGGTCGTGCACCACGCAGTAGTGGTGCACGACCGGACACCGGTACGATGCTCATCCAGATCGAAACGGGCAG